ACTGCTTTTATGTGAAAAATGAATTTTTCTTTGTTTTGTGGCTGTAGTTGTAGCTATAGAATTTATCCTTTAATCACATACTGTCCACCTTCTTTCTCAGTCATAGACTGACTTTTATTGCTTCTTACCAGTTTGATTTATCTTCCTCTGTTGGTGCCTCAAACTCAATATATCCCAAAGTGAACTCATTTCTTTCTTCTCAAATCTTCTCCTCTATACACTTAATTTCTTCTTTCTGCCAGTTTGATTTATCATTTGTAGTTGGCACTTCACATGTCAATATATCCATATGTACCATATCAAACTCTACCATCTCTAATTTTCCAGAACACTATTCTATATTTTATACTTTAATTTTTGGCAGTGCTTTTTGTAGCGTAATTGTCTAGTTGTCAGGCTTAGCTACTATTTGAGGGCAGGGTTTTATCTTATTCATTATTGTACCCTCACTACCTGTCCGTACATACATGTCTCCCATACATAAGAAAACATTCACTGTTACAGAATGGATGACTAGTTTAGAATATCATTTGTTAATTGGTCACCTTCATTATAAACATTAGGCACACAGCTATAAATAAATCAACAAGTAAGGTCCTTCTCTCATGGAGTATATCATAAACATTTAATTTTTTTTGTAGTTTAACTTGTGCTCAATATTTCATGTATACTTTTCTTGACAAAAGACTCTATAGAATTAATTTTGGAAAACTTCAATGAAGATTTTATGAGTACCAGCTTTCTTGATTCTCTTTGTTGCCCAATTTTTTCATAAGTATATATTCTACCATTAATAATGTCAATACTATGTTGAATAGATGGCTAGTATTTGTTTTTTTTTTTTTTTAATTTTTGTATGAGTTTCAGTACTCTACAACTAATTTTACATTTATTTAGGCAGATTCACTTAGGGGTCCTGCTGTATTCTGATGCCAACTACCTCAGAAGTAACCTGAGTTTCACTTTCTTAGTTTTCATGTTTATCACACATTACCTTAATGTTCATGTGAACCTAAACTGAAAAAAAAAAAAAAAACACTTTTATTGTGAGATAGAATACTTACATAGAAAATCACATAAAATATAAATATAGACCTTAAAAAGCAGATATTCAAGTTAAAAAACAGATCTGTTATTAGTGGGTACAGGAAAACAAAAAAAGCAAAAGAAAACAGAAATAGAACATTGCCAAAATTTTCTTTTTGGTGCTTTTTATTTCAATGTTTCCTTCTTGCCTACAGTTAAGCACTATCCTGATTGTTACAGTAATAACTGCCTTGCTTTTCTTCATGGATTGTTAAATCCTGTTGATGAAATGACCCCTTTATCATTATAAAGTAATACCTTTTATCCCTGTTATTCCTTGTTCTAAAGTCAGCTTTGTCTTATTTTAATATTGGCACTCTAGCTTTTTGGATTCATGGATGCATGTTATAACTTTCCATCTTTTTAATTTCTGTTTTTATGTTTTAAGACAGTTTCTTATAGACAGCATAAAGTTTGGTCTTTTTAATTCAATCTGACAGTCTCTGCCTTTTAACTGAGGTGTTTAGAACTTTATAGTTAATTTCACTACCAGTGTCTTTGGATTTAAATGTACTTTTTTGCTATTTGCTTTCTATTTATCTCATCTGTTCTTTTTCCTTTTTCCCTACTTTGGTTGCAGGAATAAAAGTTTTTAAAAAATAATTCTTTCTTATATCCACATTGGTTTATTTGCTATACCTCTCTGTTTTATTTTTAAGTGGTTATGTAGGGTTTATGATATGTATTTCTAATTTATGATAGTATATCTTCAAATAATGTTGTACCACTTCATATATGGTAAATAAGCCTCACAAAGTCTGCTTCTATTTGTACATGTTGCTTCTACATCTGCTATAATGCCTCAATAAATTGAGACTATCTTTGCTGTAAGCAATTGCAGACAGTTCTTGACTTATGATGATTCAACTTACTTTTTTTTAAAATTTTGCACAATGGTACGAAAGCAATATGCATGATTCAACTTACTTTTTTTTAAAAATTTTGCACAATGATATGAAAGCAATGTGCATTCAGTAGACACCAAACTTCCAGTACCCATACAGCCATTCTATTTTTCATTTTCAGTACAATATTCAATAAATTACATGAGATATTCAACATTTTATTATAAAATAGTTTTTATGTTAGGTAATTTTGCCTAACTTTAGACTAGTGTAAATGTTCTGAGCATGTTAGGGTAGACTAATCTATGCTGTTATAGTTTAGGTATATTACATACAGTTTCAATTTTTAATATTTATTTATATTTTTAATTTTTTTTTGAGATGGACTTTTGCTCTTGTTGCCCAAGCTGGAGTGTAATGGCATGATCTTGGCTCACCGCAACCTCTGCCTCCCAGGTTCAAGCAATTCTCCTGCCTCAGCTTCTCGAGTAGCTGGGATTACAGGCATGCACCACCACACCTGGCTAATTTTTGTATTTTTAATAGAGACAGGGTTTCACCATGTTGGTCAGGCTGGTCTTGAACTTCTGACCTCGTGACCTCCCAAAGTGCTGGGATTACAGGCGTGAGCCACCGCGCCCAGCCAATTTACAATATTTTCTAATTAAGATGATTTTATCGGTAAGTAACTATCACAAGTCAATGAGCATCTGTATTTTTTAAAGGGATTAAGAATTGAGAAAAAATGCATTTTATTAATCCACAAAAATTTGCTGTTAATTCCATCCAGTGTATTTTTCATGTTGTAAATTTGATTTGAATCTTATTTTTATATCTTCTCATGTTCACCTTTTCTCTACCTTGTTGAATATATAAAGAATATTTACAATAGACAGTGTTCTTGTCTGCAGATTCCTCCTTTTCATTTCTTGATCTGTTTCTTTTCATTGACTTTTCTCCTCTTTATAGGTCATATTTTCCTGTGTCTTGAAAATATACTCTCTGGTAATTTGTATGACTCATTTTCTATGTAGTTTGAGTGCGTATGTGTGTGTTTTTATATGTGTGTTTGGAATGAAATCTGGTTCTTGTTCTCTGGCTGTTTACCCTGAGTAAGTAGAATGTTTCACTGGTGTCCTGGGTTTCTCAGTCTACCTGACAACTGTTGCCTTTTCAAAATGAACCTTGGCTTATTTTTAAGGATTTCTGGTCTTTTGGTCTTTGTAAATTATTTGAAGGTCAGTCTGCCTTCTTTCCAACCTTTCTCTTCCTTTTACCCTTCCCTTTCCTCTTCCCTCCTTCTCTGCTTTGGGATAGCCAGCTAAACCATCAGTCACTAAATTAACACCTAGAGTTTTAACATCAACCATGAAGTTTTTCGTGATCACCTCAATGTGAATGAGAACTTCTCTTCTTTTTGAATTTTTGAGCATTTGTCTTCCATTATGGCATTAGAGATGCTTTTCTTTGTTTAAAATTATTTCAATACTTCTCTTAAAATTATTTCAATACTTTTCTTAATGCTTCAAAATACTTTTTTAGAGGTAAGATCTATATTTTGTTCACCTCTTTTATGTTGCCATACTTAACACAAATAAATAATTCTTGACATTGGTTACGTTTTAATACATGTGGGCCTCAAAAGAAACATTTTATTTTAAAGAGAGTATCTTTTATTATTAGTCCAGATTAGCAAGATTTTTGTTATATTATCACAGTACATTCTTGCAGTAATAGCACACATTTTCCTTTAGCATACAAGAGTTAGTGTAAAAGTTTTGAGTCTTCACTTGCATTCTTTAATTACCTATTTATTACCTATTAGAATATAGCTGCTGCTCTATTCTCTCCTATCTCTTCTTTAATATCCGCATTGCTTAAACACTAGTAGTTTTTCCTGTAGATCTTGAATTTTTTAGAATCAGTTTTTTCAGTAGAGTATTCAAGTTTGTATAATCTTTTGATTACTTGTTCCAAAGAAACTTGTGTCTTAGATTTACAAACCTTTGTTTAGGGTCAGCCAGTCAAGAAATACTGTGTGCCTAGGCAAGGAGACATGACCAATTATCTGCTGTAAACCCACTTTAAATTCTTTCCTCCCCTGTTGGAGGACCAGATAAAGTCTTTGTTGAAGTGATTGATATAGATACAGATTGCTGTTTGATTTGTATGAACATGGAGCCTGTGGTAATGGCTTTTAAATTATCAAAATTTGAAAAGTTCTTTTTTCACAGGATTTTGCTTTTGGTTTAACTTTTTAATTTTTTTGTAAAATAAATTATTAAAGTTATTTTTTTATGTCTACTCTTTAAACATAGAAATTCTGATCTTTTTAATCTAGGCTGTCTTTACAAGTTTATATATGCTGTTTTCTACAAGTAATATATGCTATTTCAAAATATAAAACAATGGTCTTCCGAGGATGAAAACATTTTTATCAGCTAAATATAACTGACATTTTCATCACCACCAAAAATGATTAGAAGACAAGGAGGTTTTAGTTTGTTTTTTCTTTTCTTTTTTCTGAGATGGAGTTTCACTCTTGTTGCCCAGGCTAGAGTGCAATGGCGCCATCTCAGCTCACCAAAACCTCCACCTCCCGGGTTCAAGCAATTCTTCTGCCTCAGACTCCCAAGTAGCTGGGATTACAGGCATGCGCCACCATGCCCTGCTAATTTTGCAATTTTAGTAGAGACGGGGTTTCTCCATGTTGGTCAGGCTGGTCTTGAACTTCTGACCTCAGGTGATCCACCTGCCTTAGCCTCCCAAAGTGCTGGGATTACAGGCATGAGCCACTGCGCCTGGGCTGTTTTTTAATTTTCTTTAGGTATTTTGTTGTTGTTCAATAAGTCCAGTTCTTTAAGTTCTTGTATTTAATATATTAATAAATTTCTGATCTTATATAAGATATTTAATAATTTAATAACTTCTCTGACTAGCCGTTAGTTCTGAAAGTAAAGTCTTAACCATTGAGGATACTCATGATTATTTATATTTTGAGTGTTTTTTTTTCTCCCAAATCCTTTGACTCCTATCTTATCTGCTGGTCATATGATTTTATTTTGATAGGTAGTTATGCTCCATTTCTTTCTTTGACTGCCAGAGAAAGTACTTTTACCAGTGCCTCTAGCATTGAGAAAGCTATTCCAGGTCCAGGACACTATAATGTTTCAGAAGCCCAGGTAACTGTATAAAGTTACTATAATTGACTTAATAAAATCATGTTTTCTTCCCTGAATAGACCAAATGTCATTTGTTGTATTTTATTTTCTTCTCATATTGTCTTTTACTTTCAATTTATATTTTATAATTTGAATAATATAAAATAAATGTATTCGATATTGGTCGCATGATTCGGTTGGATGTTTTTCAGTATTCAATGTGTTCTATAAGACACAAAACATCGTTACATGCTGTATGGTCCTTGAGAATGAGAGAATAGAACTCTTAAATGATTTATGGCCCATAGAAGTTGTACAGATAGTCAAAATGTTAGAAGAGGAATGGCAGTAGAAGAATTTGTTTTTGTGCCATACTTTAAAGCTATAGCCATTGCTCTTGTCTCATATGTCTTCTGTTTCTGCATAGTCTCAGGAGTCTGTGACTGGAATATGGTTCATTCATGTTTAGAAATAGTGGATATAACTTGATATCTTCATAGCCATTAACATAATCTTTTTCCATTTTCACATAAATTTTGCATTTATATGTACTGGCTCCTAGCTGATTCCAGCAGACCTTTAACTCCCCTGTTGGAGGCCCAGATAAAGTCTTTGCTGAAGGACTGATATAGATTCAGATTGTGGTTTGTCTAATCATGGAGCCTGTGGTAATGAATTTTAAATTATCAAAATTTGAAAATTTTTTTTTCCACAGGATTTTGCTTTTTGTTCAACTTTTAAATTTTTTTGTAAAATAAATTATTAAACTTATTTTTATATGTCTACTCTTTAAACATAGAAATTCTGATCTTTTAAAAATAGTACTCAAGCAGTAAATTGCCTATTTGAAAACAAAAGTTGACTCAGTTTTTAAAAGAAGACCTCCTTTGTATATTTGTTTTTTTTTTTTTTTGAGACAGAGTTTCACTCTTGTTACCCAGGCTGGAGTGCAATGGTGCGATCTCGGCTCACCGCAACCTCCGCCTCCTGGGTTCAGGCAGTTCTCCTGCTTCAGCTTCCTGAGTAGCTGGGATTACAGGCACGTGCCACCATGCCCAGCTAATTTTTTGTATTTTTAGTAGAGACGGGGTTTCACCATGTTGACCAGGATGGTCTTGATCTCTTGACCTCGTGATCCACCCGCCTCGGCCTCCCAAAGTGCTGGGATTACAGGCTTGAGCCACCGCGCCCGGCTTGTATATTTCTTAAAGGCTGAATAAAATTGAGTAAGGTCCCCAGTAGAGATAGGCTCTGTGAATAGTGACTGTGAATAACTGGACATCTGAAAAGGGCTATTTGTAAATCAGTGACTTGAAATCTTAGATGATCAATCAAATGCTGTAATCATAACTCATCTTTTTGAAATGATTGCACTATAATTATTTACAGAAATCTTTAGATGCAATTTTACCCAAATTAATTGGATATTAGTCAATTGATACTTTTCAGATTCTTGAGAATCCAGATATGTAGCATGGAGAGCCCTGGAAGAGTCCACCCAAATGTTTGCTCTGCAATAAACAATGTTTAAAATTAATTTGAACATAAAACCAAGCTGTTGCTAATAAGTCTTTATAAACTTTTCTGGAAATGACCAAAATGTTATTCATGAAAAGAATTAACACTAAATAACCTTTTGAAAGGTTTGCTACTTTTTTTTTTTTCTGCAACATGGATGCCAACATTTTTTTTTTTTTCTTTTTAGTTCATTTCAGGGGTACAGATTTTTCCAAGGGCCTTTATTCTTGCTCTACAGCTTTGGGAATACCCACCTCTGATTTCTGTTTTAAAATGGAGTTTTCTTGCACTCTCTCAAAGTGCTCCCAGTACAGCAAATTTTAGTTTTGAGTTTCAAGTTAAAACTGACAACTCTAATTGTTATCTTCTCTTGCTATCCCTTTTTACTAGAACTGTGTCTTCAGTCAAGAGTGCACTTTCTTAGCTTGAGTTTTAAAACTATTTTCTGATAATGATTAATACTTGTAGAAATTAATTGTAAAGTGCTTCTTTTATATGTCAGAAGTTTTTTTTTCTCTCCATTTTAGTGTAATATAAAAGGAGGCCATAGTCTGCAAAACCGGGAGAAACGTTTTAAGAAGTTTATTTCAGATAATCCAGGACCGGCAAGCTATGATCAGTCTTATCCTAGAATACAAGATATCATGAACAGAAAAGTATTAGAGGCCAAAGAGCATCTTCAGTCAGTACGTTGCTATTTTAAATTATACTTGTAATGACATTTTTTTAGTTAAAATAGTAAAGGTTTAATATATTTTATGTGATGTTAGGTATATTTCAAAAGCCTTTCTATAAAAATTAGATTTGTTAGTGTTTATATTTTAGTTATTTTATGGGTACATAAACTTTAGTTTTTAACTGTATTCATATCTGACTTCATTTTTTGCTCCTGGTAAATCTATAATCACTTGTAATATCTCTGGTGAATAAAAAGTAAGGGAGATTTTACAAACTACCTTAGTGATTTACCTATATATAGAGAAAAGCCTGTGTTAAGTACTCTTAATAATATATGACTTCCTGCTGGCAAGGAAGGAAAAGAAATATAAATAATACAAGTTAAACATATGATCCCTGAAGTAAAAAATCTTAAAATTTAGATGGGAGATAGACAAATAGATAGCTGTTAATTCAAGACAAAATGTGACAGTTGCTAAATGAATGATCATGTAGCAAAATGCCATAGGAATTTAAAGGAGCACTACTGTATTATGAAGGCATAATTTATGGAAGATTTATAGAAGAGGTGGGTCTTTACATTGGCATTGAAGAATAGAGTTGGAATATACATTCTAAACTAGAGTGTTATATAAGTGAAGATACAGAAATGAGCTTTTTTTTTTTTTTTTTTTTTTTTTTTTTGAGATGAAGTCTCACTCTTATCCCCTAGGCTGGAATGCAATTGCACGATCTCGGCTCACTGCAACATCTGCCTCCTGGGTTTAAGTGATTCTCCTGTGTGAGCCTCCCAAGTAGCTGGGATTACAGGTGCCTGCCACCATGCCTAGCTAATTTTTGTGGTTTTGGTAGAGACGGGGTTTCACCATGTTGGCCAGGCTGTTCTCGAATGCCTGAACTCAGGTGATCTGCCTGCCTCAACCTCCCAAAGCTCTGGGATTACAGGCGTGAGCCACTGCGTCTGGCAGAAGTGAGATTTTCATGGAAGGTAGTAAGAAGGTTATTTTAACTGGAGTGAAGAATTTGTACAGAAGATTATTATGTGGTATGTTTGGAAAGGTATTGGGTGATAGATAATTAATAATTTTTACATCAAAGGCTACCTCTTTGAAATAAATAATATGATCAAGCAGATTTAGTCACTATTTAGAGTGGTTCCCTTCTCTTGCCATAACTTCTTCATATGGCTATTACATTTTAATAGTTTTTTGTTTAGGAGGACATATTTTAAGGCCAAGTACTTAGCTGAATAATATCAGTGCAATGACAATGAGGTTAAACTTTGTAAGCATATTTAAATATCAGATATTTTGTGTGTGGGGACAAAGCAAATCCTCATTTACTTTGAGATGACTGTGTGGCCATACATAATGCTAGATGTTGGTAATACATAGAGAAAATTATTGCTTCCTGAGATTTATAATTTTAATGGGGAAATAATGAATGAAATTTGGTACAATACTATTAATGAAATGCTATCTTAGAGTTATAATCCAGTGTTACTAGTAGCTCAAGGTAGAGAGTCTTTGGAGGAAATAGGGGAAACAAATTGAACCTGATCTTGAAGAAGGATTCACCGAGTAGTTAAAAAGAATGGGAAAAATATTTTTTCCCCACTTTATTCATGTGCGGTAAAAACCACATGAATAAACACACTGAAGTGTTTGGTAGCGTGCTATATTCCAGGAAAGAACAAAGTTCTTTGGAATGTTTGGAGTACAGAAGCTAAGGGAGAGTTATAGTAGAGAATGGAGGTAGGGGTTATATTTTGGAAAGTCTTGACATCACACAAATATTTTTGAATGTACTGAAAGGAGGGAAAGCCATTAAATGATTTCTTAATTTGGTAATTAATCTCATAGGTATTACTGAAACTACTTAATGATTGTCTTTAATTGATAAAAAATAAAATTCTGGCTGGGTGTGGTGGCTTACACCTCTAATTTCAGCACTTTGGGAGGCTGGGGCAGGCAGATCACTTGAGGCCAGTAGTTTGAGACCAACCTGGCCAACATGACGAAACCCTGTCTCTGCTTAAAAAAATACAAAGATTAGCCAGGCCGGGTGGCATACACCTGTAATCCCAGCTACTTGGGAGGCTGGGGCATGAGAATCACATGAACACGGGAGGCAGAGGTTGCAGTGAGCCAAGATCATGCTACTGTACTCCAGCGTGGGGAACACAGTGAGACTCTGCCTCCTGCACCCCAAAAAATTGTAATAAAAAAGAAAAATGGCCAGGCACAGTGGCTCATGCCTGTAATCTCAGCACTTTGGGAGGCCTCAGGGATCACCTGAGGTCAGGAGTTTGAGACCAGCTTGGTCAACATGGTGAAACCCCATCGCTACAAAAAAATACAAAAAAAATTAGCCAGGTGTGGTGTCATGTGCCTATAATCACAGCTACTCAAGAGACTGAGGTAGGAGAATTGCCTGAACCTCTGAGGCAGAGGTTGCAGTGAGCCGAGATCATACCACTGCACTCCAGCCTGGGCAACAAGAGCAAAAACTCTGTCTCAAAAAAGAAAAAAAGAAAAGGAAAATTCTGCCAGTAATAGTATGTTTCTAACAAAATTGTATATGGGCATGTGAACATGGAACTATAGCATTAATTTATTCATACAGAAACTATAGGAGTCATTATATTCTTAGTAATTTCAGTTGCCTAATAACTAAATCCTTTAAATGCCAATACTTTTATTTGATATATTTTATATTAATATTTGTAATATATGTTACACCTTCCTGTTTTTATTGAAGTTTTAAAATATTTTACATTAAAGCAAATTTTGATAAAAGGATGATCACCCTAAAACTTCTGATTCTAACATTAAGTTAGAGATGGGGTTTCACCATGTTGGTGAATTTTTACATAGCTTTTTTCGGCATTAAATTATACATGTAGGTGACTTTATACATTTATTTATAATTTCACATAACTTCGCTATATTCATAATTCACTTTTATATTTTGCTATTTCCATTTAGCATTATATCATAGACACTTTCCTGCTGTATAGCTTGCATACTTAGGATATTTATACAAGACTCAGGAAACATGGAAACAAAAGTCAGGAACTGGGAAGAAATGAAGCCAGAAAGTGTTACTGAAAAATATAAAGTTTGTTTTTGCACAGCAGATAGTATAATAGCATGATTGTTGATGTGAATAGGATTGCCTGTTTTTAGAATCAGTAATGATGGCTTTCCTAAGCAAGATAAATAACTAATCCAAATGAGAGAGAATCCTTGCTTCTTTTGATGACTTTAATAGTTATCTATTCTATTCTATTCTATTCTTAATTTAATAGTAGTGTATTCTCTTGGTTTATAGGATAAAGCAAGACAGACTTGAATTGACTTCTTTAAATTACTTTTACAAAACAAACATTTTTGGCTGGGCACAGTGGCTCATGTCTATAATCCCAGCACTTTGGGAGGCTGAGGCTGGCAGATCATTTGAGACCAACAGTTCGAGACCAGCCTGGCCAACATGGTGAAACCCTATCTCTACTAAAAATACAAAAATTAGTCAGGCATAGTGGCAAATGCCTTGTAGTCCCAGCTACTTGAGAGGCTGAGTTCGGGGGCAGAATTGCTTGAACCCTGGAGACAGAGGTTGCAGCGAGCGGAGATTGTACCACTGTACTCCAACCTGGGTGACAGAGTGAGACCCTATCTCAAAAAACTAGTAACAAAACAAACATTTTTGTTTTATATTATGAAACTCATTAAATCACTATTTAATAGTTGCCTTTTAGTAAAGTTTAATATTTGGTTCTTCATTCACCTGCCTCTTAACTTTAAATAAATAATATAAAATGTTTCCTTGTAGAAAATTTCAAGCACACCTGCACTTACCAGAAATGTTGATGTTCCTTCAATTCCTTCTTATGGAAAGTCATATGGTTATCATCTTAATGATGATGGCAGTATTATAAAACGTCTTCCACCTGCTAGTGACAATACACTTGGTCCAGCATATTACAAACCTCAATTTGTAAGTATAATGCATTTCATATTGACAATTGGAAAATTGTTTATGATTTATATGTGGGTTTCTTTTTTTTTCTGGCTTATTTCTCTAAAAGAAAGTGATTACATGTTTTAGTTAATGTAACATGAACTGTGGTAACAAATAGGCTCCCCAATTTTAGTGGCTTAATACAGTAGAATTCTTTTTCCTCATTCATGTGACATTTCTTGTTAAGTGACTTTCCTTCATGTAGGGATTCAGGGACACAGGATTATTCCATTTGTGTTTCTGTCATCCTCTAGGGATTTGTTGTCATCCCTATCCAGCTGGCAGTAGAGGATGGGGAATTATGTGTTGGAAGTTTTTGTAGGCTAGGCTTGGAGTTATAGCCAGTCACATGGCCATACTTAACTGCCAAGGAGGCTGGAAAATATAGTCTATGTATCTCAGAAGAAGAAGAAATGGGTGTAAATTGCTAGGAGTCTCTGCCACAATGTATAATCATAAGTAATACATAGAAATTCTTTTTCTGAATTTGAAAAGAAAAAAGAACATTTTGTTTTTAAAAGAATTGGAATCTGAGAATGTAAACATCATTTATTCCAGAAATGATTATTTAAAAAAAATGATAAGGTGCTTTTCTCTGACTGAAATATCAATTATAATATAGCTAATTCATCTCATCTAGAGTTTAAATTTCAAGCCTGACCAGAGTTGTCAAGATTTCATTCAGACAATTGAAATGTATGTGTTATCCATGAATATAGACAATGAATATAGATGGTATGTCTGGTTTTCCTCAATTATAAGACAGAAATCATAGTACTTTGAACCAATGGTATTTTTATACTTCAATGAGATATAGAAGAACTAATTCTAGTGAGGAAAATTCTAAAAGTAAGCGTAGATTTAAGGAAAGGCTTAAGGAGACATCTTGGGTAAAGAAGAGGCATTCTCAGTATTGATCTTGACCTTTAGTCCCAATATTCTATAGTTATTTGTTGGCATATGACTCCATCTTTGGGCTTAGACTTAAGCACCTTCAAAAACCATTTGGTTTGTGGCAGTAGGTACACTGGGAAGTTTTGGGGGTTTTAGATCCTTTGAGCCATTAACATCTTTTTTCTTAAAATCTTTTAATTATAACATGTATCAAACACATAGATAATATGAAAATAATAGTATATACCTATGTAACCATCACACAGATAAAACACATGTTAAAATTTCATCACGTTGGAATTAGCTTTATTTTAAAAGAAATGTGTTATTACAATGTTTGCACTATTCTCCTGTCTTTATTCCTCTCCTTTTGCCACAATATACATTAAACCTTCATTACATATTAATAAATATATATGAATAATAATTTTTAAAAATGATTTTAACATTTAATATTATCTGGTGTATATGTTTCTTGGGTTTTTGCTTACTGTTATATTTTCCAGATTTAACCATATGACCATATTACATCTAATTCATTCATTGTTTGCAGTTAGATGTTTCTTTTAAAAAAATAATTTAATCGTCAAAATAGTTTCAGACTTAAATAAAAACTTACAATAATAATAATAATTCTTCCTAAAGTACAGAGATCACTGGTATGAAAGAAAAAAAAGGAAAAAAAAAAAGAATAATAATAATTCTAACCTTTACTCAGATCCTGCAGGTGTTAACATTTTATCACATTTGTTGTATCATTTTTTCTCCCCATATATTTATATTATTATTTTTATTAAATCATTTAAGAGTACATTTTGGATATGATGCCTCTTTACCCCTATGTGGTTCATTGAATGTGTTCTAATAACAAGACATTCTTAGAACACTAGCCGAAGATGGCTGATTAGAAGCAGCTGTGTTCTGTGGTTCTCGCTGAGAAGAATGAAAATGGCAAGTGAATTCACATTCAAATAAGGTATCCAGGTTCTCTCACTGGGACTGACTGGGTGGTTGGTGCAACCTACAGAAAGTGAGGGAAAGCAGGGGGGTGATGATGGCCCACCTGGCAGTGGCATAGGGCAGAAAGAGCTCCCTCCCCCAGCCAAAGGAGGCAATGAATGAGTGTGTGTTGCCCTGACCAGGAAACTACACTTTTCCCACAGATCCTTGCAACTTGTGGATCAGGAGATTCCGTCTTGAGCCCATACCACCAGGGTCTCAGATCCCGAGCACAGAGCTGTGCAGGCTCTCAGAGGCCACTTAGATTGGCAGCCACTAAGGCATGCAGCCACCTGGGAAGGCACTTGGACACAGGAGTTGTTTTGCATACCCCAGCCCTGGGAATTCTGGTGAGGCAGATTGTCCCTTCCTGTAGGAATGGGGCTGAAGCCAGGGAGCCAAGCAGCATTATTCAGTGAGCCTCACTCCCATGGAACCTCACTAAGACCCACTGGCTTGGAATCCCTGCTGGCCAGCAGCAGCAGGCTGGAGACTACCTAATATGACTGAATTTATGGGGGAAGGGGTAGGTGCCATCTCTGCAGCTCCAGTTGGCTGTTTTCTTCTACTAGTGCCAAAGAAACTGAGTGTTTTGTACAGGGAGGAATTGCCCACACTGCCGCACAGTGGGTGTGGCAGATTGTGGCCAGACTGCTTCTTTTAGTGGGACCCTGATCCATCCTTTATCACTGGGCAGGGCCTCCCCATGGGAATTTCAGAAACTCCAGCCAAGTATTTATGGACAGAACTCTGGTCTTCCTGGGACAGAGCCCCTTGTGGGGAGGGGCAGCTGCAGTCTCTGTAGTATACCCTATTTAGTCTTTCCTGGCAGCTGGTTTTGGAGAGCCTGGACAGTCTGGGCAAGGGGGATTCATCCCATTTCAGCACACCTGCTCTATCAAGGGGCAGCTAGACTGTTTCTTTAAGCAGGTCCCAGATCTTCTTCCTCCTGTCTGGGTAAGACCTCCCAACAAGGGTCACCAGACACCTCATATAGGAGCATTCCGGCTGGCATCAGGTCGGTGCCCCTCTGGGACAGAGCTCCTAGAGGAAGGAGCAGGCTGCCATCTTTGCTGTTTTGCAGCCTCCACTTGTGATAGAGGGTTGGGGAAGAACCTAGGCAAAAATTGTGTGGAACCCCAGAAAACTGCAGCAGCCCTACAGAAGAGGGTCCTGATGTTAAGAAAAAAGCAAACACCACCACCACCAACATCAATAAAAAAGACTCCACAAAAAACCCCATCCAAAGGTTAGCAGCCTCAAAGATCAAAGGAAGATAAGCCCACAACGATAAGAAAGAATCAATGGAAAAATGCTGAAAACTCAAAAAGCCAGAGTGTTTCTTCTCCTCCAAATGATTGCAGCACCTCTTCAGCAAAGGTACAGAACTGGGCTGAAGCTGAGATGGATGAATTGACAGAAGTAGGCTTCTGAAGGTAGGCAATAATGAACTTCACTGAGCTAAAGGAGCATGTTTTAACCCAATGCAAAAAAGCTAAGAACGATGATAAAACATTACAGAAGCTGCTAACCAGAATAACAAGTTTAAAGAGAAACATAAATGACCTGATGGAGCTGAAAAACACAACATGAGAACTTCATGGTGCAATCACAAGTGTCAATAGCCCAATAAACCAAGCACAGGAAGGAATCTGACGTGAAGAATATCTTGCTGAAATAAGACAGGCAAACATGATTAGAGAAAAAAAAAATGGAAAGGAATGAACAAAACCTCTGAAAAATGTGGGATTATGTAAAAAGACTAAACCTACGACTGACCGGAATACCTGAAAGAGATGGGGAGAATGGAACCAAGTTGGGAAATATACTGCAGGATATCATCCAGGAGAACTTCCCCAACCCAACAAGACAGACTGACATTCAAATTCAGGAAATCTGGAGAACTTCAGTAAGATACTGCATGAAGTCAACCCAACAACACTTAATCATCAGATTATCCAAGGTCAAAATGAAAGAAAAACATGTTAAGCGCTGTCAAAGAGAAAGGCCAGGTCACATACAAAGAGAAGCCCATCAGACAAACAGTGGGCCTCTCAGCAGAAACCCTACAATCTAGAAGAGATTGGGGGCCAATATTCAACATTCTGAAATAAGAGTTTCCAACCCAGAATTTCATATTTGGCTAAATTAAGTTTTATATGTGAAGGAGAAATAAAATCCTTTACAGACAAGCAAATGCTGAGGGAATTCTTCACCACCAGGCCTGCCTTACCGGAGCTCCTGAAGGAAATACTAAATATGGAAAGGAAAAACTGTTACTAGCCACTACAAAAACACTCTGAAGTTCACAGGCCAATGACATTATGAAGCAACTACATAAACCCGTCTGCAAAATAGCCAGCTAGCATCATGATGACAGGATCAAATTCATACATAACAATATTAACCTTAAATATAAATGGACTAAATGCCCTAATAAAAGACACAGAATGGCAGGATACAGAGTCAAGATCCATTGGTGTGCTGTATTCAAGAGACCCATCTTGTGTGTAAGGACACACACAGGCTCAAAATAAAGGTATGGAGGAAAATTTACCAAGCAAATGGAAAACAGAAAAAACCAGGGCTGTAATCCTAGTTTCTGACAAAACAGACTTTAAACCAAAAAAGAAAACAACAACAACAACAAAAACGAGGGTATTACATAATGGTAAAGGGTTCAATTCAGCAAGAAGAGCTAACTGTTCTAAACATAAAAACCCAGTACAGGAGAACTCAGATTCATAAACCAAGTTCTTAAGAGATCTACGAGAGACTTAGACTCCCACACAGTAATAGTGGGAGACCTCATTTGCAATATAAGATCATCAAGACAGAACATTAACAAAGATATTTAGGCCCTGAACTCAGCTGTGGATCAAGTGGACTGATAGATATCTACAGAATTCTCCAACCCAAAACAACAGAATATACATTCTTCTCAGCACTACGTGGCACTTAATCTAAAATTGATCAGATAATTGGAAGCAATACACTCCTCAGCATATGAAAACCGAAATTATAACAAACTCTCAGACAATGGTATAATCAAATTAGAACTAAAGGTTAAAAAACTCACCCCA